AATCTATAACATATAGCAAGAAAGCATTAATTTTTGCTGTAACTTTAAACGATAAGCCTGGTTAGGTTATTTTTTTTTATGACCACCCAGAAATATGAGCAGAATTGACATAGTGACAACAAAAAAATGGTGGATTTCTATAGTGAAAATCACACTATTTCATTATTTATTTTTTCTAAAACTATAAGCGACCGCCGAATTCTGTTTGTTGATTAATTCATTAGTGATTTTTCTCTATCGTCTAAAATTTATTTTAATTGAATTAAGCCAACATTTAAGTTATTTACATTTACTGCTAAATAATCTTTTTCGTGATTCACGTATAATAAAAGCTTGTTACGACAAAAATGTATTCGAAATTAAGGTAAACATGAAACCTTTACTAAAACATAAGTATTTTTCTAAGGCTTGTCATTTTACGCATATTTGATTTGTTATAATAAAATCGCAATGTCTTCACGACACATAGGTACGTAATATTTTTTCCTCTTTATATCTAGTATATCAATATTCATCCAGACTTATGACAAGAAATAAAAATAATAACGAAGTTAACAAGGTTTTTCGAATTAATATTGAAAAACAATAAAAAGTAAAGAAGTGATTTTTTTGTAGATCGTAAAAAAGAAAAAAGAAACAAAAACGCGTACGGAGAGCAATTTTTATAAAATTAGGCTATGCAATGCCCTTTCATTTGATGGTGGGTGTCTTGGATTGGACGTCTGGAGAAAAAGAAAAACTGTGGTAGGGCCACGCAACGGTCTTCGCTGTTGCGTGGCAAGAGCAGGTCCGTCCGGGTGAAGTCGTAGTGTTATACTATGCGTTTCGTCTGATGAATGAGGCAGCCGGGGCCCACTTCATTAGATTTAAGCATCCTGCAACCAACGGTGGTAGGGCCACACAACACTGTTGCACGAATGGGCAGGTCCGTGCGGCTAAGTACCACGGCTTAACAGAATGTTTCGTATGGTGAGTGAGGCAGCTGAGGCCCACTTTATTTAAAGGTGGCAACGCGTTCACAACCCTACGGGTGTTGCAAATGTCCATGGGCGGCGTGTCTCAAGTAACGTCAGGTGAACCACCAGCGCGATTGCCATCGCTCACATTAAAAAAAATACTTCAATTTGCGGTAGGTAAGAGCCGAGCGGAGAGGCGATCGCGCGGAGCGACCTTGAGACGCGACCCAAATACCTGGCAGCATCCTCCGCCGTGGAAAATGCATCAAGGATGCCGCCGCTCACGAAGCGATCTGGGCCGCGATAGCAGCGTCATGACGCGCCAAGGTCACGGCATTAAGACACTAAGCCATCTCACATGATAGAGCAGTACAGTACAGATTGTGCAAAACGAATTATCGACATTATGGCCCATCAGGATGACTCCGTGTCGCAGCTGCCAAGGTATTGGCTTCGGGGCCGGTGGTCTTGGGTTCGATGGCCACAAGAGACAACTATTTGTGTGACCCACAGATACAATTATTATCGGATCTCGGTGAGTGTACACGTGAAATTTGTTGACAGAAGTTACTACCCAAACCCTTCCACACAAAAAACATACAATACATTGGATAAATTATAGTGCAAGCTTATAAAGCCTTATGTTATAACAAGAAACATTCTATAACTTAAACATTTGTTAGTTTGTTTCACCGATTTTTTAGAGACAGCCACCTGATGGTTAGTTGTGACATACTAGTAGGTGGTAAACGGGTAAACGAATAAACTCAGTGGAAACTATTCATTTTGCCATGAAGACACCAGAATTATTTTCACGGCAGAAAATTGTTGCATTCCCTTGCTGTACGCATACTGAATGACAGCAAAACGATTTCACGTGGATCGTCAACGTAAATATGGAACTGTGCCGAGCGTCTGGTGGTTCGAAGACGGAAAAGGAAGGGAGTAACTAACGTAATTTCGATGCCACACTTTATAAAATGTTGTAAACCGATACGCCTGTGCTCGAAGCTTGTTATAAGACATACCGATAATACAAAACAAATACACAAATTACTGAAGAAATGTTGGGAAAAGTTACCACACTAATGTTATTTTGTATTTATAAACGAGTTCAAAAAGATAACAGATCAATTGTTAATGCGTAAATAACATACAGCACCAAAATAAAGACTAATCGTGTGTTGGTCGAAAAAAATATTTTTCGACCAACACACGTACGCATAAACCATGTCAGTAATCTATAAATAGAGCGTGATTGATCGTTGATTTGTCGAAAACAATTCAACGATAGCGACAGCCCTGGAGCACGGCAGTTGCTTGAAAACATTTTAATGATTAGCATCCGTCGAAATTAACCTCGACACGATTAGGCGGTTGATCGTATAAAATATTTTTCGACGGATTAACAACTAAAGAAAAAGAAAGCGATTCTAAAACGATAAACTCGAAATAAACTAAAAAGGGGGATATTTTTGTTTATTTGTCCAGCTTTTTTTGCAGACGCCGTCTAATACGCGCGAACATTCAACACCCGGACGCTGCCATACCAATGGACCGGTTCTAAATTCAATATAATTAAATTCGCGGGTCGCATTGTCGAACTTGGGACCTTAGCGTTTGATTTCTCGCTACTTAACATAAAATTATTTGGAGTCCGTTCGCAAAACCAACCAGACCTTTGCGTGTCTAGCGCCCGATTGAAAACGACGTGTAATCTGTGAAATGATGTGACGTAACAGGATTTGAAAATAAACTATGCTCTAATAAAACTCTGGCCATTATAAAAACGATCATAAGGAGAAAACATAAGTAAATTAAAGTCTGTTTGTTACGAACTACAATCGGTTGCGTCATCAAGAGTTAACGTCATACAGGTAGGTACTACGTATGCCATTCGAGTGAAATGGACACCAACTACGCACTAACACAAAGGTCTGCCAAATTAAAATATATCACGCGAACCTTTCTTATGTATGATTTGAGGCGTCCGTCTTTGATTTCGAAATGAATACAAAAATTTAAGTGAAAACATTTTTCAGGACTGGATTTTAGGATTTTTGTCTGTGCTACCAGTTTGAGAGTTCGTCAGCAACGGATCTGGAAACGGCTTACGGGATTTCAATTGAAATTATGGGGCCTTAAAAGAAGAATTTTAACTTAGATATAGATATAGATTACATTGACCATTGAACGAACCACGTCATCATAATTGTTTGTAAAGAAGATATGCCAGTCAAGCATTTTATTCCTAAGTTATTAAGATAAGCAAGTTACAATAACAAAAATAGCAGTGTGTTTCACGCGCTGCTAAAACTTATGCAGAATTTTATTTCACATTCGCTACACACCAGTTTTGACTTATGTAAATGTACAAGTTCGTAATTTATCATGCCGTGGTATTAAAACGTTATCTGTGTCACTCGGTGAGAAAATAGATACTGACAAGCGTAGGCTTCGTTTCTCGAAAGTTCGCTAATTATTCACCGACACTCGAAAATGTGTGTGTGACAACGATAACTTATCTCGACCATTGGGAACAATGCGCGAGCATTGCACCTCTTGATTCGTATGCGTACAGTTTGGGTGTTACGGGTACAAACGTTAAAACAGAGCCCCATCGCGGCGTCGAATGTAAAAGGGACGCGGCGCGTCGCGTCGGTAGCATTGGCAGTGTTAAAGTGACTCTATACAAAAAATATTACCCAAATTTTATAACAGATGGCGCTAATAAACGAGCCGAGATTCGTGTATCGCGCTACCATTTATCTCGCCAAGATTAAAGAGGTCCTCGACTGTTGTTTCGTAAAATGCTAACATTGCGAAGCCAAGGCAGACCAAATAGGAACCTGTACAGAGTAAATAATACAATGTTAAAAACACGGAGTGTTGAAAACAATCCCTTCGGGATTCGAACAGGAAATATATCTTGTACAGGGAGCGTGAAGCGAAAGATGAAGAAACGTCGCGCCTGCCGCCGAGCCGAATGTTCTCACGTAGGGGCGTGAAAAATGTGTCACAAACAGCTGATAAGGGCACCGCTTCCGTCCGCCGCTGCACCGTTTTCACCGTCGCGTTCGTTGGAAACCGACACGCGATGGGCGCGGAGACATCGACGCGCGCGAATACCGCACAACAAACATGGCCGACGGCCTGTTTGAAAATCGAACGTGGAACGGTTGAAATCCTACTCGGTTAAACTATCCGTTTACAAACGTTTTCACATGTGGTATATAAAGAGATATTGTAATGTATACCTGTCTTTGAATGTTACGTTAACCAATCTCTCTTTCTTTTTGAATGTTCCACCTTCACCCTATTCTACGCAGACGTAGTCGCAGCAGCATAGTTATAGTATTCATTTAGTGTTTACAGTAGCGTCACATTCGAGTTTTCGATATTAACGACGAAGTAAAGGTTTTAGATTAGAATAAATTTATATCAATAGGTAAACTATATTATATAGAGCTAGAGATCACTATTGTTGATTTTCATTAGACAGTTTTGACAGGATTTATTTCACATTGTACTGATATCACCTTTAACAACTGACAGTAGCGAATACTTTACTATGATGTTTAATATTTTTCATGTTACAAAAAATTACACGGAACTACGATCTGCGAAAGTACTACAGCCGAATAGTAATAGAAACTATTAAAAAAAAACTCATTTAGACACCTCCGTTAGCATCGCGCTTTTTAAACAGCGAGTCCACTTTCAATTTCCAACTCGAATCAGCTGTTGGTAGCACTGCGGCACAAATCGAAATCGGAGCAACAAGTGCGCTGGGAAATTCGCGCCGATTTCCCAACGCCACGATATGAAACGGCAGCGGGCTGCATCTGCAATTCTATCGACGAGAAGGCGACGCCTCGTAAAAGCGCATATCTCCGAATGCGCGCGATCTCGTGACGGCCGGTACACCTACGCGCGCTAAATAAAGCGTGAATTTTTTCACCACGGGCGCGCTGGACGGCCGCCACTCCCGGCCGTCACGTGACATGACATGACATGACATGAAATGACACGACACCGACTTACCTTCATGTCGTCGAGCATTTCGCACACGGAGATCAGGGAGGCGGTGTCGGGGGTCACTTTGATCACGCCCATTTTGGGAGTCGGCCGGGCACTACTGGGCGAGAGCACGGGGCACCGAGCGGGTCGTTTGCGTGCTTCTTCTTCGGGCTGGCGGCGCGGAGTCCCGACGGAAGTTTAGAAGTTCGGTAGCGCGAGACGCGTGGTTAGTTTTAGGAACAACGAGCGCGAGACGTTCTCACGCCGTGACCGAGCCGCGCGGACTGAAGCGAGCGGCGGCGTTCCGCGGTGCCAGTGAAAGGGTCCTGACGTCACGCGCGCGATAACGTGAACCCCTCCCCCCTCTCCCCCTGCGCTCACTTGTTGCCACATAGGCGGTCCTGCTCGCTCGCAAGCACCGTCCACTCTCCGTCTCCCTCGCTGAATGACAGCTAGTAAGAGCTAAGAGTGTATTTACTTAAAAGCGTGCTCTAGTACGCACGTTGACTGCTGATATATATTTTGCGCGTAAAGTAATTTATTTTTATCCCCATCAGAATATTGTCAAAACGTGAACTCGCCTGAAGGCATACATAAACGCTTTTTGACATGGGTCTTTACAGGGTTGCTCCCAGCCTACGCCGCTCTCCCGGCGTAGTATACCTGTAGACGCTGCTAGGGCTACGGATATGGCTACGGTCATAGATACAATGACCAATGGTCCCTCTGGGCTACAGGAAATCTTTGGAAGATTTTAGGAGGATTTTTAACGGAATATATTTTTAAGCCTCAAACAATCCCATAATGCCTATAAATATTTCATTTTATATATATTTTTTTAATTTATTAATAACTCAAAAACACGTAAATGCACTTGCCAATGCGTTTTCTACAAAAAACAATGAATTTGTGAAACTAGTCCAATAGGTACCTACAGATTAATAAACAGACATAAAAAATACTGTAGATTACGCTTTGCGTGGCTGATGATGGAATTTCTAGGTGAATTGTTATTCTGTGATATAGTGCAAGAATCAAAGTTCCACCTGAAACGATTTGACGTTATTTTATTTCTTTATTCATTACTGTGCACAAAATAAAATAAAATCTAAAAGAAATTTAAGGTTAAAAAAACAATAACGTACAACGGCAAAGGCAAGCTGGCAACTCTAAAAAGAGTTCTCTACCAGCAAACCCCTGACATAAGATTACAGGCAAATTATGTTAGAATTATTTTTTATGTGAGTATAAATATATATATAAGTAATGTATAAATTTCTGAGGAATGTATACGATTGACGATATTAACACCAAATGGCACTCAACTGCAATAAATCACAGCATTAATAGCAACACCGACATTAGCGTTGCGATTCGAAATTGAAAAAAAAAAAAAGAAAAACTCATGCATATTTTTTTCCAGACAGCTGTCATTCAAAACCTGGCGGAGGTCGGCTAAGCTAATTTCGACGACGGCAGCGTCCGCCGCAGCAGCCGACCGTGTCGCTCTATCGCGTCCTTGACCTTTCCGCGTGCGTTTCGCGCGGCCATTTTTGTTTGTTCGAAATTCGAATTACGCAACGGCGGGGTGCGTTGATTTATGAATTAGACGCGCATTTTATACACTATACATATGGACCGGCCGCAAGGTGCATAGCAACGTTCAAGAATGGCGGGAACTAACCGCGCCACATTGATCGCTTTGTTATTTTTCTATTACCGCATACATGAGGCTTCTTAATTGAAACCTAATGTGTGAACGGAGCGATGAAATTAAATTAAATACGCCGTTGTTACCCTGGCGACGTACTATTAACGTTATAAATGTTCATTATAAACGCGACTTTTTTTGTAATTTAAGAGACAAAAAAATTACAAATATTGTATGAGAGACTATTTTTTTAGTCTTGCTATTTATTTTAAAACTGGAAAAGTTTATATGAATATTTATAAGCAAACCTCATTTAAAAAGTTGGATAGAACGGGTTTATAATAATCACCAGAACTAATTCGAAAAAAAAAAAATTTAAGATAACAAGACCGCAGAATTTCTTGCCGGTTTTTTCTGGACATATCTAATTTTGAGAGCCGGTGATAGTTTTTTGACGTTCAATAAGAACCTAAAATTTGCCTATATTGAACAAAAAAATGTTGACTTTGATTCTATCAAACTAAAATACTTTTAATTGACGTATCTGATATGGGTTCATCATTTTTTGTTTTCCGCTCTATGTATTTACAAGTAAAAACTGAGGACAGTATAACATTGTGTCGATCGCATACAATGATGTTAGTGTGAGGTACAAGGTATATGTGCGATTTGAGAAGGAAATTCAAAGAACAGTTTGTACACATGTTAACTATCCTATACAATTTACGTAATAGACGGTGGTTTTGTTCTTCGAAATGTCGCATAAAAAGGCGCGAATATATTCTTATGACGGCCTTTAAATGTAGGTAATTGTGTTGTTATTACAGATAATATGAGACACTACATGATTGCTTCTAATGGATGTTTGTCAGAAAGGTTATTCCCCTGAGAAAGCTAACGTAACACGTCCAACTGAGGTCGTTTAGATTATAACACATCCCAGATTTTTTGTAATGTTGCTAGTGCGTATAAATTTTGACAAAAAGAGAGAGTTTGTGATTTAATCATTTCATGTATTTAATCGAATACCGTTTGCTAAAGGAAATGGCCAGAGTTCGTAAAATCAGAAGTTAAAACCGATACAAACCCGTCATCCAATGAGTTAATGGACTAGTTTTTATATGTGAAAAGTTGGCAAGCGAGCAGGTGTTTCACCTGATGTTAAGTGTTCACTGCTGCCAATGTACGTCTACGTCGTGAGCGGTTGTACGGACGTTAGTAACCTATAAACGGGTGGGCCCTGATTAACCCACTCACCAAACGAAACCAGTACAACACTGCTGCTCAGCTGTGCTCTTCTGTGAATTCGTGTTGTCTTTGATCGATTCTGCCCATTAAAAGCGGAACCAATTGCGTGGCCCGCATTAAAATAAAACCACATGACAGTTAAAAAAATGGTTCGTATCCTGCGATGACATCTCCATCGGGTTGATGCAAGAGGTGTGTAAAGTCGTGTTCCTCGTGGCTTTGACCTTGAACTGCGTTGAAACCGAAAGTTACACGGGCCGAGAAACTGGGTCACAGTCGCACCGCACAGTCTCGCCTCCCGGATCTGAGTGCACTTACGGGCTCAGATCAGAGAGATTTGCGCGCGGGAGGCTTGAGGGACTTTTGAACAGAGCTTGTGGGTTCGTATGACACTTCGGGATTTTCACTAGCATGAGAGACAATGTAGAGTTGAAAAAGAAATTAAAAGTTATGGGACTTACTAAGTATCTTTTATTTCTGTGACAAAATTGCGGACAAAGTAAAGAAGGTTTTTTATGAAAGAGTTTGCCGAAAGGGAAATTATGTACTTATGTATGCAACATACGTTTATAATCTATGTATCATGTCATCATGTAAAAGAATGGGTGTACGTACCTTAAAAATGTGAACTTTTTAGACAAATGTACAAAAACATCGAACTAATGATTCGAACTTGGGTCTTCAGAGTAACGAACCGACTAGGCCTATCGAGCGTTTAGCTCAGTTGGTGAAGCATCGGCGCGTCACTATTTATCTACAAATCACATTTTAAGTTCCATGTTGAGTGCACAGAATAAAAAGAAAATTTATCATAAAAGAAAACGTGTATGTATATCAAAGAGACACATTTTCGTGGAGTACCACGCGTCCTTACAAAAACGGCGCTCAATGCACGCTATCACGGCCGTACGAAATGCGATACCTATATCTCTGAGCCCGCATTCCCCTTTACAGGAAGGCATTTAAAGGCGTAGTAAAGGTACAGTGATACAAAAGAGTCAACTAAGCAACAGTAAGCAAAGAAAGTTTCTTTGCTTACTCCAAAAACGAAAACTCAGCGTACTCTAGTCGCCTAAGATAAGGCTCAAGCAGCGACCTCGCGGGTCTTTTGAGGTCGTGTCGTAACTTGGCAGCTGTATTGCCCTATCTGCTGGCAGACCAAGCCTCCAACGGGGCGAAACGCACGCGTTGCATTGTGAAACGCAACTGATAGCGCGGGCTGTAGTCACGCACGCTGTGGTGTAAGCCTGCGGCCGTTTTACGGGAGAAAACGAGCTGATAAGCGGGCGGACTACACATGGGTATCCTCAAAGTGGGATAGCAGTTGTCTTCCTTTAGTTGACTTCACCAGTCGAGCCCTGCTATGAATACTCTGCAATCGCTGAATGATTCTACCAAAACAGAGCCAAATTTTATGTGAATCGGGAATATTCTGCCGCCTTTATGTTGAAAATTTGTATTTTTAACTATGCCACAGCAGTCCCGTCGAGTTAACGCGCGTAATACCTTCTATCTGCTACTCATATGATGAGTTACGTTCAAGAACGAGTTAAATTCAAGAACGACAACCTGGCCTTCTGTATTTCCATCTATTAGTTTCCCTTAAATTGTATATTAAAGTTAAATAAAATTTTAAAATGCAAAGCGGTTTGTAGATTTCTAAACGGGTGCGTGATATTTTCGAGCTCACTTCTAACCTTATTTCATCCTCTTTACTTTCCATCGAGTTTTGACATGAAGTAAGAAGACATAAGTAACTTGGGTGAGGGAAAAACTAGTTTCGATATCTTAAAATTTTAAAGCAAGTTCAGACAATCCATAGGGGTGAAATGTCGCCAAAATTATAACACACCCTTTTGTTTTTGAGAATCAATGTAAGAAACGATAAAACAATATAAAAATCTTAACGTTAAACTCGAAAAGTTTTAACTCGTAAGCCGATGCCAAATGCTTAATCTGGTTGCATAGTTTTACTTTGCAAAAAGTATGGGATGGATACATTTTCTATTTCATTAGTTGAAAGGAAACAGATGTTAACGTTATTTCTAACGACACAGAATCACGTGTTTATTACTATACATATTAATAAACCAGTTTAGTTTCCATTTGATAAACTAATCGGAGGTCAAGGTGAGAAAATACGAACGGCTTGTAACAATTAACATGAGCCCATTGTCTGACTGTGCAGAAACAATAGGTGGTGTAAATTTCTTGTTTTAGAGCCAGATAATATATTTAATGGAGCTTGTAGCAAAAAAAATATGAAATATAAATCGTTGCAGAGCCTATCGTTTCGGACTATGACCATCCAATAAGCAATTATGCGAAACCAGTAGCTCTTTTAGATTAGTTGCGGTTTTTTGCCGGCCTTGAGAGCCAATTCCTCGAAGTACGGACTCTGTATTGACGCGACCTTGATCGTACCGACGTCTTGATGTCAGCCTAAGCGCTATATACGAGTATATATATAGCTTCTAGTTTCGCGTCTGTCACTAGGAGCAATATCAAAAATAAAAATTAAAACACGATAAAATCATTTAATATTCTTCTTTTAGTTTCTGACTTTATAAGTTCGAATGTAATGGATACGGATTGGAAATACGCTGAAATTTGTAATACAGTTAATTCTAGCACGGATTTCGGACACATCACATAATTAAGTTTACATATTTACGAAATAAATAAACTGATTTCTTTACAATATTCTTTAACTTACAGGTGTCCCATTATTATCCTATGTTATCAAATGTTTTAAGGGCCATTAGTAAAATAATTTCACAATTATGACCAGTTTTTCTCACCAGGATCTACAACACAAAAGGATCGTATTTGTAGATCGGCAAACAAAACCAGGTAAGGTATAACTATAGTACAAATATGTAAATTTGTCTAATAGTTCTCTCATTATGTGTCAAACAAACGGACAGACTGGCAATGAGAGGTGGTTTATGATATGAATACATGAATATATGGATATTTTCTAGATCGACAGCTAATGAATAATTGTAAATATGCACATGCAAAATACTTAACGAAACCTTGTTTATTGTGGAAAATTTCTAGGCAAGAATTGATCGAACGCTAAGAAAGGCTCGATTATACAAGTATTATAAGTCAAATGGCTTTTCAAAATTTATTACAGTTGCAAAAAGGACTGTTAAAATCTTTGAATTGATCATTTCGATCATTAATCATGATCACCAATGTTTCAGAAACCGGGAAACACTCATTCTTTAGCGACATGATCTTAAGTTGATTGTTAATGCTTGTCGTGCACTATTTTGCTTTGTTCGATCTTTCTTATCAGATAAGCGTGTGCGTTCTTAGTTCGGTATAAACCTCAATAAAGCTCGAGTAACCTTTCTGCGTTCAGAGCCGGCGGTTGCTTGCCTTTCACGGATGTGACGCGCCCTTGACTGGGCCCGCCTTGACGCATTCTGTGCCCATTGAATTATAAGAGTTACAAACTTACTTTTTATCATCCGTATAAATGATGAAAATTATAGTGACAGCCTATTATATTTGCCACTGCTGTATAAAGGCCTCATCTATATCCTCTGTGTTAGGGTATAGTCCAATGCGCGATCCCACTGCGGTTTGGCAGACTCTTCGGAATACTTTTTCTTTACCTGGTATATGAGGTCTCAATGTCATTAAATCAGGTCACCAGTTATTTTATACATTTAGCTATTTAGTGCCGACCGTGAAATTTAAGATAGACCTTTTTAAGTATCATATAAACTTGGAATGTATGTATTACTACATTGTTATTATTTCCAAACGTCTTTTACTATCATGTCGAAATCATTTCGTGATACTCATTCTGTTCATTTGCTTTAGTGGAAAATCTTATATTCATTGTCTGGCAGAAGCCTTTTTTTACATTTGTCCCTGATGAAATCTAAATCAAATCGAATCGCTCTCTAAATTCCTCGTCGCACAGCCGACAACTGTTTACGTTTCATATTTCCGGACTTGAAACGTCTGGCTCTCGGTAGAGCGGTGAAACTGAACGCTCTAAACAATGCAAGGTCGTTTTTACTGTCTAATGTCGATTGCCGCAACGCCGAGAGTGGATTCTTGCCGGCGCTCGGCGGGACGATTAGATCTGTTATGGCCGCCATTGGGTATATCTGACGCATATGTGGCTGCGAGTGGACAATAGACGCTGTTGGATGTTCAGGAAATAAGGAAGGAAGGGAAGCACCACGGCTTAAGAAGGCATCAGAAATATACTTTAACATTTCTTCTTGAACAAGGTAAACGAACACAATGCTTTTCAAGGACCCACGTATAATCCCTTATGTTGCAGATGGCTATATTCATTGGCTTATTTAGCCGACTTTTATTACGTAATATGCGCCGCCCATAGCGACACCCGTAGCGTTGTAGATGCGTTGCCACCTTTAAATTAAGTAGGCCCTGGTTACCTCATTTACCAGACGAAACGCAGAAGTGTAACATTTCTGCTTCACGCCGGTCTTCGTTGAGTTTGTGGTACTGTGTTCCCCGGACTGACCTGCCCATTCTTGCAACAGCGATTAGTATAATAGAGAAAATGTTAATGATATAATTTTACGTGTAGTAGTAGTAACGATTTACAAAACCGCTATCGAATATCTTACTGACTGTATATTTTCTATTTGATTTTGGGTACTTCTACTTGACTTCGACTTTGGTACTTGACATTTGTGAAAACAACAAGATAAAAATATTTTCTGTACCTATTTACTAGCAAATAAAGGAACTATAAACTATAAATTTCAAATTAGTAGGTTTAATAAGTAATATGTGTAGATATTTTAAAATTCTTATGATTGCTTTTTTCTTCTTTTATTTTAAATTGGTAATAATGCACCTACCCTAATTTTCTGACCCACCCCGAGGTTGGTCCGTTAAGTCCGCCTTTGTACGTTAATGTTTGTGCGTAAAGATTAAATAATAATAATAAAATCGGTTCATAAATCTAAGGTAACTAACACAAAAAAGTACAATCGAATTGAGTTTTAGATTGAGAGTCACCGGCGAAGTGATCTATCCGGGCGTTTCAGAACGGGTTATTTAAATCTCAATCGACGATCTTAATTGGCCTTCAACTAATGTTAACGTGTCATCCGTATCCTCGTGGACAGAGGCTTTCCTCGTGCGGAAACGGTTTTGACTTGTTTCGCTTTTTTAAACAAGCCCGGACTTGTTTGTTTTGCTTTTTTAAACTAGTTCGGACTTGTTCGCCGTGTTCTGTTTTAGAAAATCCGTTCTGATTCTAGTTCAGAAACTGGAAATTAAATTTTTTTTCGAATGTTGCTTTTTTATCATTGCGGAGAATCTGTTTGTTTCCGTAGTAGAGAAAAAAGAGCCTTGATTTTTTATGTGACAAGAGCTGGCGGTTCACCTGATGTTATGTGATAACTGCCGCCCATGGACATTTGCAACACCCGTAGGGTTGCAGATGCGGTGCCACCATTTAATAATGTGGGCACCGGCTACCTCACTCGCCAGACTAAACGTAAATGTGTGCACTTCTACTTCACGATGGTGCTTTTTGTACTTTTAGTCTTACAAACAAAAAGGACATTTATTACCATAAAACAAAACACAACAAAAATGTCCATTGATACCACACTATAGGTACACACTCTGTTCTGTGGTTAGCGGTTTCGATTACCGCAAGAAATATCAACAAATTTTAAAATTAAAAATTATAAAAAGTAGGTCTCTGTACAAAGTTATACTACTGCTAGAATAGAGGCAACAGCATAACCTTAAGCTAGCAGTATAGTCTATAAAAAGCTCTGTAACTGTATATAAAAAATATCTATTTATATCATGAAGGACGCAATGTAGGTGTGTACAAAACTTCTTCATTTTATAGGCGTCTTTCTGACACGAGAGTAAAAAGGGACAATAAAAGGCCTACCAAGGCCACTTTCAACGGACCTACCATTTAATTTCCCTATTACCAAGAAACCAGAACTGATCAGTTGTTCAAAATGGCTGGAATTAAAATAAGAATATATAAAAAACACTACGAAGCTTTTAGCACTTATTGACATTAAATGCGTATGAAAATAAGCATATAAAAGAACTCTTCCTTTGTTTTATACTTTCCGCTTACAGTAAATAGAGTTGATTTGTTTTTAAAAACTACTACTTGCAAATCAGATTAAGGTTAGCCTAAGATTCATTTATGTAAGCTTTTATATTAATCATAACATAAGACTATAAAAATAGCCCATAAAAAT